TAAAGTACGACAAATCCAAAAAAGGAAACCGTAAAACAAAAAATAATAAATTATGACAATATATAAAGAGATAAAGTAAACAATTAAAAATACAACAATCCGCCCGAAACCCACAAATCATGTTCAAATTTCATGCCAACATTTAGAAGGGCCCAAAATATTAACATCTAGATCTATATTTGGTAAAAACCCTAATAGCACACGTTTCTCAATGATTCTCAACCGCACTTCCATTTACGCCCACACTTCGACTTATATTATACACACTTAATTTCTCAACGACTAATGAAGGTAAAACTCAATAGTTTTTCTATAAAAACACAATTTAAGTTTTAAAAAAGTAAAGTATGGTATAGTGAAAAAAATAAATAGGAAATAAAATACGAATCAATTACTCATAAACAATATAATAAACTCCCGCGCGTAGCGCGGGCAACCGACTAGTTACTAAATATACATACACAAGAATGCAACCCTAGCTAGACTTAACCCACGTTATGTGGAATGGGCTTTTTCCAATTCCAAACTGGATTGAAACATTTCCTTCGAACGTGATCATAGTAGATAAGGACCCATAAAATAGTAAATATATTTTTTTTTAATTGAAAACTCTAATATTTCTTTTTTAGTTTAGTAATTTTTATTTTTAAATGGAGTTGTTTTCAATTACCTATTTTATCATAGTAAATCGAATTTTAATTTTACCCACTCTATAACAATAGACTACAAACAGAGGAATTTGTTAGATACCATTTCTCAAACAAATCTATATGTGAGAACCCAATAAAAAACTATGCATAATGCACATGTCAAAAACATAATGGAAATTTTTTCCAAAAAAGCGACTTATATAATATGTCAGAAAAACACGATTTTTTTTTTGTCGCCAGAAAATACGTAAACTAATTTATAGTATTAAGGAAAGAATATCATCATACCACCTATGATCACTCAAATCCCCTATATTTCTCTAATATATATTAATTCTATTATTCTATGTAATCTATTTAATTATGTAATTTGATTATGTTATGTGTTTATATATAAGTTGTATCATTCCTTTCAATAATACAACAACAATACATTTCTATATGGTATCAGAGCAGGTTTGCTCCCGAGTTATGATCTAACGGTTAAACTCGTTCTCTTTTATTTTTATTTTTGTTAAGCCAAGTGGTTCTTCCATTCAAATTCATCATGAACCTCTGGATCTAAGCCATGTTGCTTCTCTCATTCAAGTCTATTACATAGACTTCTGAATCTAAGCTACAAATGCTTCTTTATATTTAGTTTCTTTAAGAAAAAAAACAAAACTTTCTTTTATTATTTACTGTTTTTTAAGCCATGAGCTTCTTAATATTTTTGAGCCAAATATTTCTTCTTTTTATTTTGTTTTTAAAGCCAAATTTTTTTTCATCATTCATGCTTATCATAAGCCTTTGAATCTAAGCCAAAATAGCTTCTTTTAATGTTTCTTAAAAAAAAAAAACATATCACATTTTTGTAAAGCTAAATGCTTCTTTCACTTTATCATAAGCTATATGCTTCCAAACGATTAATATCTTTCCAACCTTCACACAACCTGTGATCCAGTTTATGATAAATCCGTCCAAACACATAAAAGTGTTTTTCTATGCTTCTTCAATCCCATATATTCCTCAACGATATCAATCTCAAGACGTTGATTCCGTTGTCTTCCGCTGTCTACGTACACTTCATCACCCCCCTTGAGATTGAAGGAGTGTATTAAGGAAAGAATATCGTCATACCACCTATGATTACGTACTCAAATCCCATATATTCCTCTAATATATATTGATTATATTATTCTATGTAACCCCTTTAATTATGTCATTTGATTATGTTATGTGTTTATATATAAGTTGTACCACTCCTTTCAATAATACAACCACAATATATTTCTATATATAGACTAGATTTGTACCCGCGCTACAGCGCGGAAGAATGTTTCTGGGTTTATTTTATTTTTTCACGTTATTATCATATGTGTTATTATTACGTTTATTTTAGTATCAACAATTATTATTTCGAAATGTATATTTAGTTTCAATTCTTTGGGAAAAGTGTGTATTCGGAAATAAAATAAAATAAAATATTTAAATAAAACAAATAAAGAACGTGTATTAAAGAAATTACATACTCACAATGTATGTTATGACGAATCAATCCGCAAAGATCCGTGTATTTTAAAAAGAAGAGAATTTTTGAGAAATACCCCTTTTGGTGTACCCCTTTTTGAAAATACTCCTCTTTTCTATCCATTTTCAAAAATACCCCTTTTCAAATATGAAAAATTATAAACTTTTATATGGTTGATAAGGTACATCAAGATCATCATTACTACTGGGAAACTAAATCCAAATATTTATAAAGTTTTAAAAGGTTCTAAACGGCATTTATATGGTTTTATATGGTTTTTAAAAGGTTTAGAAATTTTTTATAAGCTTTTTATATGATTTTTAAAAGATATTTATACGGTACTTATGAAATTTATATATAAATTTATAGACATGTAAAGATATTTTGTGTCTATAAATATAAGTTTATCCATATTTTTTTGATAAATTTCAAATTTTTATAGTGATTTTTTGATAAAATTAGAAAGTGAGGTATTTTTAAAAAGTGGTATTGGAAAAGGAGTATTTTTGAAATTCCCCCTAAAAAGAATAATGAAAAATGAATAATAATTAGATAATTTTTTTTTTGTCGTCCGAAGAATAATTAAATTAATATAATTGAATCAAGACATAAAACTGAGTATAACTGACAAATGAGAAATTTTAAGTCCCTATATAATAGAAGTGTAATTAGCTTTTAAATTTGAAATAGAAGTTAAAATTCAAATGTTCCTATTGTAACAATCGTAATATTGATTTATTTAAGGGGAATTTGCACAACTAACTTTTTTTATGATACCCTTTTATATAAGTATCCTCTCTATGTGTCTATTTTCAAAAATACCCTTTTCAATATAAAAAATGACTAAATTACCCTCCTTTATTATAATCCATAACAAAGAAAAGAGTATTCTTTCCAGCTAAAAGAATATTCCTTCCGAAAAATTTCCTACCAAAAATTTTCCGACAAAATTTTTCCCGACAAAAATTTTCCCGCCCTTGTCAATCCTTTGTAAACCATTTTTGATTCCTTGTATGCTTTAAAAACACTTGTAAATCCTTTTAAAAACACTTGTAAATCCTTTGAAAAACCTTTAAAAATCCTTGTAAATTTTAAAAATCTTTTAAAAATCCTTGTAAATCCTTTTAAAACTGTTATAAACTTACAAAAACTTTTAAAAACCATTGTAAATTATTTAAAAATCATTCAATAACCCTTGTAAGCCTCTAAAACCCTTTAAAAGCCATTAGAAATCTTTTAAAAACCATTAAAAATCTTTTGTAAATCCCTTTAAAAACCCTTGTAAAACCTTTAAAAAACCCTTTAGAAAAGATTTGGCGGGAAAATTTTGTAAATTTTTTTTTTGCGGTAATTGTTTTTGGCGGGAAA